TCTTATGGGCACAGAATTTCTTGTCTTGATGCCTCCAAAGCAAACAGCTTGTGTGAAACTCAGTAAGTCATAAGCAGCCCCCTTTTTCCCTTCTTCCTGCAATTCTCTTTCAGTCATAAATCTCATGTGCTCGCAGCATTTCTGGGTGGGCCTTCTTGTCTTTTCAAATACAAATGTACCAACTTAGAAGGTTTGGGTGGGGCTCCGGATTCTGCCTAAGGCCCCGTACTCTGGTGGTTATGTGCCATGGAGTCGGTTCTGACTCATAGTGACCCCATACAGGGTTTCTGAGGCTGTAAATCTTTACAGGCGCAGAAAGCCTGTTTCTCCCATGGAACAGCTGGTAGTTTTGAACTGTTGACCTCGAGGTTAGCAGTCCAATTCATAACCATTAAGCTACCAGAGCTCCTTCCCCATACTCTACAAAGGCTTAAAACAGAAGTCTATTTCTAGGAAAATTCTAATCCCCTTTTAGCAAAGTCAATCAAGTATAGGCTGAAGGTGGGCTTACAAACTCTCAGTGATCATAACACAATATTAATTTTTATCACACATGAATGTCTCTTTTACAGTAATAGGCAGGAGAAGGAATCCTGATGTGGCACTGTGGGTTAATGCACTGGACTGCAAGGTCAGTTTGAATCGCAGGGTCAGTGGTTCAAACTCACCAGCTGCTCCTTGGAAACGCTATACAGGGTCGCTATGGGTCAAACCTACTCTACAGCACTTAACAATAGCAATAGGCAAGATAAACCAAGATGCATATGGGCTTGGACCTCTGGCAGGGTAGACCTGGTAGACCCTGGAGGCAGCACGACATTTGCCTTTCCCTTTGCCCAGGCAACTTAAGTATCTACCTTCTAGTTAGTGGTTTACCCTTCCTTCCCTTTCACCCCTGGTAACCTTGGTTACGAATCGGGCTGCGAACCTTAAGGTCAGCGGTTCGAAACTGCTCCATGGGAGAAAGATGAGGCTTTCTACTCCTGTAAAGATTTACACCCTCGGAAACCCTATACAGGGTCGCTATGAGTCGGAACTGAGTTGATGGCACATAACAACAACAACAACAACCTTCAAAAAATGTTTTTTTCTGTATGTAAATCTTTGCTTGGCTTTTTACAGTACTTGTCTCATACAATATGTGCCCTGTTGTGATGGTCTCATGTCACTCAACATAATGTCCTCTAGATTCATCCATGTATGAAGTGCTTCACAGATTTCTTCTGAGCTTTGGTGATGAATCAGTCTTTCTCTGAAATAGCCAACCAGTTGTTCCTCATTTCATTCTCTACCTCAATGTCCCTGGTCCCCCCAGAAATGCTGCTCCCTCCCCATCACTGCCGCAACCCTGAAGTTTGTGCTTACTACAACCTGACACACCATCAGGTGTGTCTTTCCCTGCTTATCCTCTTTCACCATCACAGACTATGAGCTCCATGGGGTAAAGCCCGGAGCCTGCCCAGGCCGCAGCCCCTGAATCAAACCTGTCGTCTTAGTCTAGGTTCTCTGGAGAAGCAAAACCAGTGAAGCTTATATATATCTATATATGTTTTATTGGTGCAATATACATATTGTTGTTAAATGCTGTCAAGTCACTTCCTACTCATAGTGACCCTGTATAGGGTTTCTGAGGAGCAGCTGGTTAGCCTGAACCACCAACCTTGCAGTTCAAACCAACCTTGCAGTCCAGTGCATTAACCTTCAGCGCCATACCAGCTGGCGCCAATAAACACACACACACACACACACACACACATATATTGTTGTTAAGTACCGCCAACCTGCAGTTCACAGTTCAAACCAACCTTGCAGTCCAATATGTGTGTGTGTGTGTGTGTGTGTGTGTGTGTGTGTGTGTATATATATATATAAATAAAGGAACTCTGGTAGTGTAGTGGTTACGAATCAGGCTGCGAACCTTAAGGTCAGCGGTTCGAAACTACCAGCCGCTCCGTGGGAGAAAGATGAGGCTTTCTACTCCCGTAAAGATTTACACCCTGGGAAACCCTATACAGGGTCGCTATGGGTCAGAACTGACTCGATGGCACTTAACAACAACAACATATATATATATATATACACACACACACACACATACACAAATCTGGGTTGGAACCAACCCAACCCAACATCAACATCCATGTGTGTCATATATACACATATATGTGGAGTACTGGTGTGGCTCTGTAGTATAAACAGCAGTTCAAACTCCTGTGACATGAGACCATCACAAAAGGGCACATATTGTATGAGACAAGTACTGTAAAAAGCCAACAGGGTCGCTATGAGTTGGAAGCGACTGGACGGCACTTAACAACAGCAGCATATATGTTTGTCTATGTATATTTATGTATGTATGTGCACACACACACACAGAGAGGTTTATATCAAGGACATGGTTCACACAGTTGTAGAGATTGGAGGACAAGTTCCAAGTTCATGGGTCAGATGTCAGGCTGACTCATACTGACTTACCACTGCAGGAACTGATGAACCCAAGATCAGCAGGTCAGACAGCAGCTTCTGGCTGCAGAGGCAAATGAATCCAAGATGGTGGGTAAGATGGCAGGATCGGCTGACAGTATGGCCGTTTGCTAGTTCAAGTTCAAAGAACCGGAGGTCAGATGATGAGCCAGATACAGGATCCAGACCCAGCCAGATTTGCCTCAGTGTCTAATTTATTGGAAGCAGGTCACACCCTCAAGGACATTTCCTTTCAATTGACTGGCTGCTCACCACAGATCTCATCATGGAAGTGATTACATTATATTGTGTGTTATTGTTGAAAAGTGCCATTGAGTCAGATCCGACCCATAGTGACCCTGTATAGGGTTTCCAAGGAGCAGCTGGTGAGCTTGAACCGGCAACCCTGTGGTTCAGACTGCAGTCCAGTACATTAACCCACAGCGTCACACCAGGACTCTATTAGATCACATCATGGGAGATTATGTCTTAACTGCCAACCACTGAGAACCTTGGCCCAGCCAACGTGCCACAACCTGATGGATAGAATCAAAGACACTCGTCTTTGGGTAGGCAGTCCTTCTCAGCTGATCTGCACATCTGGCTCTTCTCCTGGTGTGCATGCAGGCCCCACATCACACCCCAGATCTTGTCAGGTAGCCTGGGCTGCTATCCTCAGAAATAGCAGATAAGCAATTGCTTTTTCCTGTTCTACTGCTCAGCTGGGTCCTTGTCTTCAGACAGATTCAAAATGATATCAGGTTGATAGCTCTGAATGCTCATTGATGTTCACATAAATACTTATGACATTCTGAAAGTATTGGTAACGTATTGAGAACATATGGTCTTAAGGCTCCTGTTGGTCAGATAGTCTGTGTATACCTTCAGTTCATTTTCTCCAATCCAACACCTGCCCTTGGAACGCTGTTTCCTCTCCTCGTGGGATTGCTGGGTCTGGTCTACCTCACCAGCCTTGTGGAGACTTGCCGTGGTCTGTTTCTTCTTTTCCAGCTGTAATCCCTTTGACAGACTCGGAGCACAAGCTGCTGCCTCTGCACTTTGCAGTGGATCCTGGGAAGGACTGGGAGTGGGGGAAGGATGACAATGACAACACTCGGCTGGCCCAGTAAGACCCCTTGGTACCCACTTCCCAGTGCCCTTCCATTTCCCCTCTAACCAAGTCCCCATGCTAGGGAGGGCTGGTAGGGTCTTGGGCCTCCTGGGGAGGGGCTGGATTGAGTCTTCCTCCCCACCCTGGGTCAGCTGGTGGGCTGGAGAGGCACAGGCCAGCTGGGGCCTTTTCACATATGCACTCTTCTCTCGCCAGCCTGATCCTATCATTGGAAGCCAAGCTGAATCTTTTGCACAGCTACATGAATGTGACGTGGATCCGGATCCCCTCCGAGACCCGGGTGAGCCTGGTATGGAGGGACCCTGCTCAACACCTGGCAGGCCAGGGTGCAGCTCCACAAATGCATCCCCAGGCAGGACTTGCTCTTATGGGACTACCACCGTCCTCAGCCATGCCCCCAGCTGGGAGTCCCAGGCACACTGGTCTCTCCAGTCTGGGCTGCCAGGATTCTGGCTTGAAGCACCTTCAGTTGTAGCTGGTATATGTGCACACATTTGTAAACATGTATGTGTGGGTACTCTTACACATATGCACACGCCAGCACATGTGCACACATATGCATGTGTATCAGCTCAGAGTTTCTGCAAAAAGAGAGGAATAAACATGCCTACTCAGAAAACAAACTGCAGGCAAGTCACAACACTGCAGAAATCAAAACATGATGCATTGCCCTGAGTGGAGTGAATTATAAACTGTGTGTGGGTCCTGGGAAAGCCGAGGGACCAAGAGCACGATTTCATAGCGTCCTCCTCCTCCGTGGAAGGTACAGATGAGGGTGGAGACAGGTGACTGGGCACTGAGAAGGCCAACCTCTCGTCCTAGGATGGTCTGTGCTCTTGTTGCTTCCAGCCACTGAGGTGGTTCTACTTAACTATCTGGCTGACTGATAATGAACTTCCAGGGAAAGAAGTGGATTTGTAGAAAAAACTTGCAAACCATTGACCCACCCCAAATTTCAGGCTGGTATACCGTTGTAGTCAGATCGACTCTTGACTCCAGGTGACCCCATGTATGTGAGAGTAGAACTGTCCTCCCACAGGGTTTTCTTTCAGTGGCTACTTTTTCCGAATTAGATCATCAAGCCTTTCTTTTTAGGGGTCTCTGGGTGAACTTGAACCTCTAATCTTTTAGGCAGCAGCTGAGTACATTAATCACTCACACTACCCTCTAGAGTATTAAAGAGTGGCAAGAGTAAACAGTTAGCACCCCACACATACTTGGCACTGTGCGTCCGTATTTCAGTTTGCAATGTAGTTAATCATCTTCATAGGGCTCCACGAGGCAGGGACTGATAGGCCCAGTTTACTGATGAGGAGACTGTGGCACACTAACTGTCCAAAGTCACACAGCCAATGTCGGGTCTGGCTCCCGGGTCCTGCTTCTTAACCTCCATAACCTCATAACCACCAGTGCCTGGTGGGGGTTTTGTCTGCAGTGTTGTGGGTGCTCCTTTGTAGCAGCCATGTAAGGTGCCACGCCAGTAACTCTAGAGCTGAAATGAGCAGCTGTCAAGTTGGCACACAGCCTTGGCGATCTCCACATCAGCTGTGGGCTCCAAGCATACCACCCTGGCACACCCCCTGCCCTGCCCCCAGCCAGTGCTCCTCCCTCTCTGTGGCCCAGAACCAGCACATCCCCGTCCATGCAAACAGCCCTGCACATTTCTCTTCAGTGGCTGACACTGGTAGCTCCTTCCAAATCCAACAAAGGATGGGATTATGGACTGGGAGATGGTGAGCGGCTTCTTCCGTCCTGGCTTCTGAGTGACCTGACAGAAGGAGGCTCACATTATCGAGGGTGGGGGGCAGGGCAGCTGGAATAAGGTGGGAGAGCAGTGGTCCAGCTCCTAGGCTGCTCCTCTGGAGTCACTCAGCTATGACTGCCCTTATTGTCGTGGGTGTCCCTTGGAAGAGTGGAGTTAGACTGATGTGAGGGCCCCTGCTCTGCACCCTGGTACTCAGCCAGAATTACTGTCCTCCTATACCAGGGCTTCCCCGCCCTGGATACTGGTTTTGACTGTGATCCCCTAATAGCCTTACCCTCATCTGACTGGTTTATACTAACTGTACATCTCTCCAAGTTGTTCACAAAGATACCCACTCCCCACCAAAGGGGGGCCTTTTCTGAAAATAGTAACAGCTTTTCTGCAAAGCTCAGGTCCTGTTTCAGAATCCATCTCCAGTTAGCACTCTGCACTGCCAACCTAAGAGAGGATTCCCTAAACTGATCTGTCTCTGCTGAATTGAGGCGCTGTCTGCATGGTTGGGTTGTGAGGGTCAGGTTTCTGTCCCTGGCCTAGAGTAAGCACAGGAAACATCTTTATATAGCAGGGCTTCCTCACCTGGAGACTCTGCTTTGGCACAGCGCGTAGCCTCAGACAGTGTCTGATGAGGCAGCAGCCCCCTGCTCCCCCCCTCAGGGTTGGAAGGCCAGCATCTGGGTCTCTGGGCCCAGTAATTTTTTCTAAAGTGGATTGAGGCTCTAGGTTCAACACCAATGAGTATTTGCACTCTGCCCACACCCTGGGCTAAGAGCATGTTCCAGACAACCGGCAACCCGAGTTCACCAATGACAGAGAGAGGGAGCGCTTCCATTACCAGTTGGCATTGGCTCATTTGTAATCACATGACTAAGAGCAGACTGGAGGCCCCTCGAAGTCTTGCCAAAGTCTTAACTTTTTATGATCGCAGCAGACCAGTGCTGGCACTTTTCCTTAAGCATTGCCATCCCAGTCTTGCAGAGGTCAGAAAAGCCATCAGTGTTGGGGCAGTGAGGCCCAGCGCTTGGCAAGACAAGGCCTGTGTACTTGGAAGGCCCGGTGTAGGACAGCTCTTCTCTGACCTCATTCTCTCCACCCCTAAATCTGCCCGCACAGGCCCCTCTAGCGCAGCCCGAGTCCCCGACAGCCTCAGCGGGCGAGGACGTGCAGTCCCTGGCTGACTCCCTGGACTCGGACCGCGATTCGGTGTGCAGCAACTCCAACAGCAATAATGGCAAGACCGGCAAGGACAAAGAGAAAGAGAAGCAGCGCAAGGACAAGGACAAGATACGTGCGGACTCCGTGGCCAACAAGCTGGGCAGCTTCAGCAAGACGCTGGGCATCAAGCTGAAGAAAAACATGGGTGGCCTGGGAGGACTGGTGCATGGGAAGATAGGCCGCGCCAACTCCACCAATGGCAAGAGCAGTGACGCGCCCGAACGGGGCAAGGAGAAGAAGGCCAAGTCGCGAAAAGGCAGCAAGGAGGAGTCGGGCGTGTCGGCGAACACGTCGCCATTGGAAAAGGCCACGCCATCCGCCACGGACAAGGTGGCTGGCGGGCCATCAGCGGACAAGGGCGGCGGGCAGCGTGGGGACGCCTGGAAGTACAGCACCGACGTGAAGCTGAGCCTCAGCATCCTGCGCGCTGCCATGCAGGGCGAGCGCAAGTTCATCTTCGCCGGCCTGCTGCTCACCAGCCACCGGCACCAGTTCCACGAAGAAATGATCGGCTACTACCTGACGAGCGCGCAGGAGCGCTTCAGCGCCGAGCAGGAGCAGCGGCGCCTAAACACTGCCTCCATTGCCAAGCGGCCGTCTCGCCGGGCCGAGGCCGAGGCCGGGGCGGGCCCCGAGTGCCCGTCGCCGGGCCCGCTGGCCGGGCCCCCTACGCAGTTGGTGCTCAAGCTCAAGGAGCGCCCCAGCCCCGGGCCCGCGGCTGGCGCGCGGGCGACTCGAGCCCCAGCGGCTGGGGGTGCGGGCTCCCCGGCCGGGGGTGCGCGGCGCGGGATGGCGGGTGGGACCGGCCTGGGCCGCAGCCCCCCGGCGCCGGCGCGCCAGAGTATTATCCACGTGCAGGCGGCGGGCACGCGCGGCGATGAGTCGTGCGCGCCGGCCGTGGGCGTTTTGCGCCCGTGCGCCACCTACCCGCAGCAGAACCGGTCACTGTCATCGCAGAGTTACAGCCCAGCGCGCGCGGCCGCCCTGCGCACCGTCAACACGGTAGAGTCGCTGGCGCGCACCCTGCCCGGACCCCTGCCCAGCGCCGCGGCCGCGGGGGCCGAGCCCAAGTCGCAGACTTACACCAACGGCTTTGGCGCCACGCGCGAGGCCCTGGAGTTTGCTGACGCCGACCCCCCGGCCGCCTGGTCGAACGGTGAGGGCGGCGGGCCGGGCCTGGTGCAGCGGCGCTGCTTGCGGGAGAACTGCGCCTTCTATGGGCGCGTTGAGACGGAGCATTACTGCTCGTACTGCTACCGCGAGGAGCTGCGGCGGCGTCGGGAGGCGCGCGTGCCCCGGCCCTGAGCGCGCCCAGCCCCGGCTCCTAGCATCCTGGATTCCTTTCCCATTCTGTTGGTGTCTTTTTTACGTACCCTAGTCAACCGGAAGGCCGTTGACTTCTCTGCCACTGCTGTGTACGTGTTTGGTCCAACGTTCCTAATGGTGCCTGAACCTGCACTGACACCACTCAGGTAGTAGACGGATAGGAAACAAGTCATACTGATGGAAGGGAGGGGGCGTGCTCGTCCAGCCTCTGCCTCGTCCCTGTGGAAACTCAATAGCCATTGCTAGAGTATTTTTGTTCCTCAATAAGAAATAAATTTGCAGCCCTTGGTTTTCAGAAGGGGGTGTTTTACATGCTTTCGTTTGGCTCGGTTTGTCCTAAGCGGTCACGCGTGCAGTGGGGACCATCTAGGGTTGAGCAAACCACTCCAATGTCGGGCAAGGGCTCTGCTGTGGCCTCCCTTTTCCTTCTGTGCTCCTCTATGGAGAGGAAGTGCTCAGCATCCTCGGAAGCTTGGTTGGTTCCTGTAGCCCTTTCGGAATGCACCACTTCATCTCATAAGCCAAACCTCCTCCCGCAGCCATCTGGCTAAGCAACATTCACACTGCCATCAAAGCCACAGGCGTCGTGGAATGGGCACTATACAACCTACCTCGCAGGGCGTGGTGAGGTGTAGTCATTGCTAGGGTGCCAGGAGCTTTCCCAAGAGCCCTGGGATGCTGAAAGCAAGGTTCTTAACTTGGAGTTAGGAGTTTCCCAAAGATGAGCAAACATGACAGCCTGCCCACATTTCTCCTTTGAAGAGCTTTCCACAGTGAACTGTCACTAGAAGGTCCCCAGCAGAGCTCTTTACCTCGGAGAGAGGCAAGGAGTGGACCCTCTTGTTATTGTACAAGCCCCTCACTTGGCTGCTTAGAAGCCCACCTTCCCCTCTTTCTAAATGGAAAGAGCTGTGGGAAGGTGGTGAAAGAAAGTTCCCCTGCCCCTACCCCACCCCCAGTCGGCCTGGGCTAGCCGGGTGAAGGTGTACCACTCTGAATGTGCCACCCTCCACAGGCGGCAGGGTCAACCCCGCCAATGGCTCCATCCAGGGAGTAGCCTTATTCCTGAGCTGTCCCCCTTTTTGGTGCCTCCTGTATTCCTTGAGGGGGGGAAAATGTGTCCTTAGCTACCCTGTTTTGAGCAGCAATATGCAGCCTCTGCCTCCTAAGATTACCTCTGGAGAATCCTGTTCTTGGCCAAGGACACTGACGAGCTGAAAACCTGCCTGTCCTAAGGAAAAACCTTGTTTCCAAGAAATACAGATGTTGTTGTTGTTGCTAAGTGCTGCTGAGTAGGCTCCGACTCATAGCGACCCTGGATAGGGTTTCCAAGGCTGTACATCTTTGCAGGAACAGAAAGCCTCATCTTTCTCCCACGGTGTGGCTTGTAGCTGGTGGGCTTGTGATTCACAGTCCACAGAGCCATCACGTACCCCCCAGAAATACAGATAAGATGGATAGATGCCTCACTAACAAAAGAGAACTTAAAGGTCTGTGAGATCATTAGCATCTAATAATACTAAGGAAAAGAGACAGCAGGTGGCCGCTGTCTCGTGGTGTCCCCAACGTGGGAGGTAGACATCATGGGAACCTCTTTCTCCTGCTCCAGAAAGGATGCTTCCCCTTAACCTAAAAACCAGAAACAGCAAAAAATTAAAAATAAAATGGGAAAGGGATGTTTTTTTAACTTGTTTAACAAATTATAATAAAATAATCAAGTATTTCCTGTGAGTATTCCTCTTTTTTTTGTTTGTTACTATTCCACAGCACGTGGAATTTTCCATTAATGTTTTACATACATGGTTCCTTAAAGTTATTTATTAAATAGAGTCTTTATGAAAGTTTTGCTTTTCATGCTGAACTGTGTATTAATTACTAACATTTATGTCCCTCATACGACTGGGGTTTCTTTGTTTACTCAGAAAATGAAAGAAAGTACATTTTAAAATGTCATCAGCAGGGTTTGGGGCAGCTGTTTGGATTGATTGTTCATGACCTGCTGCGCTTTGTCAACCAAAGCTGCGAGGTCACAGAAAGTGTGGCTTCTCATGTTCTGTACCCTTCAATCCTCAAAGGCTTCTTCTCTGTGCATTCAGAAACCAAATTCAAACACATAAGAGTCAAGGAAGCAGAATACTAAGTTTGGTTTTTGTTTTAATTTTGTAGTGATAAAACAGTCAACCCGAAATTTCCAAAACTGGCTTGGTAAATATTTTATCTTTCTCATGTTTACTGCCAGGTTTAAAAGAAAGAAAAAGCGCAAACCCAGTATCAAAATGGTCCCTTGTCAGGGAGGCAAGCCTTCCAAAAGAGGCAGAGTAATAGATAATAGCATCAAAAAGCAGTGACCTGAATTTTATGGTCATTCTTCACCTCTACCCCATCTGATGTCATATATAAGACATGAATAAGAATAAGATGCCACTGCTAAGCGTAGCCTAGGCCCCTCTCACCATGTTATGGGACCCCAACTGCTTAACTTGGCCATGAGGCAGGCTGGACTCCCCCTGGTTGGCACCACTTAAGAATATTCATTCTCTTTTCTAAGAGATCTGGGTGCACCCCTCCTCTAAATGGTATTTTTTGAAAGTAGAGGAGCCTATTGCTAGACAGAATTTACTAGTTGTGTGCATCAGCAACATACTCCGTGTTGTTCAGAAGAATTCTTTAGACATGGCCTCTGACCAGAGACCTCTCAGACCAAATTAGTTTCTCAGGTTGAACAAGAACAGGAAAATTGCTCTGTTGGTGGTACATAGTTCCCAAACCAACAAAAACAACTGGAATTTTCCATGATGGTGACCTTTCTTTTGAGGCTCTTCCTTTCAGTGGAGCCAGGGATTATAGATGTTGGAAAAAGGTTAGATGCTGAGTGCTAATTCTAGAAAGGCAACCAGTCTTACCAAGATAGCATTCCTCCTCCTGTCAAAGGCCCAGATCCCAAAACCCCCAACCAGATTGCCCTTTCTAGAAATTTCTCTGAGCAACAGCAAGGTTCCAGAAGAATCCAAGATTTTTCTAACCCCCCAAGGGAAGTTATTTTAGTAATTTACTTCAAACATTTCCTGCACAAATATTACCCGGGAATATTATTTTTTAAATTAGTACTTGTATATTATTAAAGGAAGGTGTTTATAAGTGTATTATTCTGTTTGTAGATTTTATGCTGTTACATTAAAAGTTTACAAGTCAAGTTTAAACTGTACTATAGAAATTATTTTTATATTATTTTCAGAATATGCCACAGAGCAATATTTTGTGCCCTTATTTGTCACTGGTGTCCTTTGGAAGAGTAGTATTAGACTGGAAGCCATTGGGGGCTCTAGGGTTTTAATGTTTTTCAAATACCTTCAGAAAGTGGGAATGCATAAATGTCTTTTCTTTTTTAATTGAAAGGGTTTTTCTTTTTTTGTTTGTTTTTTTTCTGTTCATGGAGTTTGGTACTACACCTTCTTAAATTAATAACTTTATATTTATTCAGTTACTGTGGACTTTTCTTACATAATTCCCACCTAGTGAGCTCAAGTGGAATTTTCAGAGAGTTTTAATTCATTACTTTACAAATGTAATATTTTCCAAAACTGGTTTAACTTAGGAATTCCAGTGTCTTACTGTCAGGAACCTGGTGACTCAAGACAATAGGATTTCTCCGTACCCCCAGATGCCCACATCTCTCTCCCCTCCACTCACTTAGCAGCCACAAGCTTATTTTTACAAACTCTTATAAAAATATGATTCACATTAATAAGAAAAAAAGGGCTGTACCTATCAATGGTGAGACATTTGTGCAGCAAAGAAACATTATTTTGCCAAACACTTCTCTGTGAATCTTTAATGTTTCCAGAGAGGCCTGGAGTGAAAGATAATCAGCATCAACTGTATGTCTGGGGTTCCTTTCTAATGAGATTCCTTTTCCTCATCTTAGTGTGGTCTCCACAAATTAAGTTCCTCAAAAGTGTTTTCATTTTCCTTCTCTCGCTGCTTCTCATAAATGAGGGAAGTACGTGTGTGTTCAGCTGCAAGGAGCCATGATCATGCCCAGCCGTACTAGATCTATGTGAAGCTGCTGGATTCTGTTGGGGCCTTGGAGCAGCCTGCAGCAAAAAAGAGACTGAGGCTGCCTGTGCTTACTTAGCACAAGGAACATGCAGCCCTTTCCTAAAAAGCCTTAAAGTGAGATCTCTCGGAGGACCTTCTGGGGACCAGCTCCCCATGTAACCTGGTAATAAACTGCTTTTTAACTCCACCTGTCGCGTTTGGGCATGGTGCTCCAGGGCAATGATGGCCACTAAGCTTTGCTATGGTTTCATTTCTATCCACCTTCATTCCCCAGTGTTGCCTCCCCGGCCAGGCCACTGGAGAAGAAGGCAGAGGCTTGGCTGGGCTTGTGACGCTGGCTCCATTGACATAGCGTGTGTTTCTGGAATGCTGTCTTTTTCATGTAGGAGATCGAGAATAGTTCGTCCTGGAGACAGTGGCACACGTCAGCACGCAGCAGTGTTCTCTGCAAGCTGTCTTCCCAGGAAAGACCTCGCTGCTTAGAGCAGGTCCACGACAGGCTCCTAGCCCTTAGTGGTTGTCTATTAGTGTCTCTGCCAGGAAGCTGCTTCCCCCCACCCCACCGCCACCCCCACCGAACTCCAGCATCCCGCTCCTGTTCCTTAGGGCAATTGTAGACAAAAGAGGGGAGGACCCTGCACTGACTTCTGGGGACTAGCCGCCCAGAGCATGTGCGCTGTGAAGATACTCTGCTCAGTTAGGTTGGACTTACATGTCAGTGTCTCTGAGCTGTTTCTACTGACTTTGCAAAATAATTTAGTGCAAGTTGCATTTTTACAATTTTCATCTTTAAAAATATTAAAAAGAGCCTCACCAACCCTAATGATAGAAAACTATGTATAGTGCTTGTATTTGTGTTCCTCCCAGAGTATACACACATACAAACACACACAGAAGGGATCTTCAAAAAGTTAGGAGGA